GCCCGCCCCGCCGCCCCCCCCCGCCTCGCTGGGCGCTCCGGGCGGCGGCGGTCCCGGCTCGGCGGCCGCCCGCACCGATAAGGAGACGGTGTACGAGTGGTTCGGGCTGGTGCTGGGCTCGGCGCAGCGCCTGGAGTTCATGGTGGGGCTGCTGGACCTGTGCAACCCGCTGGAGCTGCGATTCCTGGGCTCCTGCCTGGAGGACCTGGCCCGCAAGGACTACCACTGCCTCCGCGACTCGGAGGCCAAGGCCAACGGGCTCAGCGACCCCGGGCAGCTCGGCGACTTCCGTGACCCCGCCGTGCGCTCCAAGCTCATCGTCTACCTGGCCCTGCTGGGCTCCGAGAACCGCGAGGCCGCCGGCCGCCTGCACCGCCTCCTGCCCCAGGTGGACTCCATCCTGCAGAGCTGCCCGGCGGCGCGGCGGGCCCCGGCCGAGGAGGAGGAAGAGGAGGAGGAAGAGGAGGAGGGGGACGTGGTGGTGGTGATGGACGGAGCCGCGGAGAACGGGCAGGCCGGCCTCCCCGCCGCCCAGGGCCTGGGCTGCGGCGCGCAGGAGGAGCTGCTCCTGCTCTTCACCATGGCCTCGCTGCACCCGGCCTTCTCCTTCCACCAGCGGGTCACCCTGCGGGAGCACCTGGAGCGGCTGCGGAGGGCCCTGTGCGGGGACCAGGAGGAGGAGGAGGAGGAAGGCTTCGGCCGCCACCCAGCCCAGGTAACACCGCGTCCTGCGCTCTTCCTGCTGCGCCATCTCAGCGGGTGGTTTCGTCCTTCTTCCATCGCTCCCTCCCGTTTTTGTAGGAGCGGCTGCTTGCTTTCCCCGAATCCCCCCCATTGGGATGTGGTCCCTTCCGTCCTCCCCCTACCACGGCAGTGTCAGTCCCGGCCGCCCCCATAGCCTGCTGCGGAGTGTCTACTACGAATTTCTTGGCGGGGGGAAGGGTTGATTTTCCTAGCCTGCCATGCTTTCTGGAACGCTGTTTTTTTTTTTCTGGAACTCTGCCGTGCTGGAGTGCAGGGTGCACAGTACTGAATTGGCTGCCTCGTACGCTGTAGGCCACTGCACGAAGCAGGAATACAAGCAACAGCTTGACTAAACTTGTAAAAACAGAAATAATAAGAATGCTAGAGACCAGATTGCCTAAGAGAGCATTCTCTAGGGGCTTCAAACCAATAGAACACGTAGAAATATTTTTTTTTTGTGTGGAGCCTGCGTCCTTGCCCCTTCCTAAAATGAGACACAGGCTTGAACTTGGCAAGAATCAGGGCAGCAGTTGGGTCACCAGCTCTAAGGCTGGTGTTCTCTGAAACATCATGTTCAGCGAGATGGCTGACAGCATTGGGGAAGGGGTGGTAATGATTCCACTAAAGAAACAAATTAAGATATCACAACTGGTGCTTCTGTGCAGAGAAAAACTGGGGTTTTTTTGTGTGGCTGTCAGGAAACAGCAAAGCTCACCCTGAAAGCAGATGTGCCACTTGTTGCTAGGATGTGGCTGTCACCGGGGATGAGGACTTGCAGTGAGTGACAACAGAAGCATTCTCCTGTGCAGTAGCTCTGTTTAAGCAGATGTTTTCCCCCAATGCCATTCACTGCTGCCCTCTTGATGAGCACTGGCGTTAAAAATTGCCCCATATTTATGCAGCCAAGCCGTCCTCATGGAGCTCTGCAGTTTTTGGTCTATAGATGGCCTCTCGTGCAAAAGGGAAGGAAGGGCTGGAACATGGGTGTTTATAGTTCCACTGAACCCATCACGTTTCCATGAGTTACTTGGCAGAAAAGGGTACAAAGCAGTAAGGGTTGGGGTTTGGGGATTTTGTTTTTAATTTGCTTGCCGTGCAATTTATTTCAGCGATTTGTAGAAAACTTATGCATTGTCTGCAGTACGAAAGGAATGTTTGCTAAAGATGGGGTATGCTCTTCAGGGAGTACTCAGAGGAGACAGGGATCCATTTCTAAGTCTTTAGATATAGTAACTAAATGCCTCTATCATTTAAAGGCCAAAATGCATTTGGCAGAATGGGCAGATGTTACAGGACTTAAATCACAATGAATTTGGAGCATCGGTCCAAAAAGTGTTTATTTTGGCTCGTTGGCCTGTGTCTAGTTTTATTCCAGAATTAATCCTGAAAGTCCATCTTTCCGGGGAAAAGATTGAATTGCAGGAAGTGGTAAGACTGGACACTGTCCCTTCTGGGTTTCAAGTGCTAGTAACCGGAAACATACTTCCTGCCTGGAACTGGCACAGCAGTTGTAGCTGCTTATTGTGTCCCACCAAATGCAGTTGGGAGAGCAGGCTCTCGTGAACTACTGGAATTGAAATCAGTATTGTGCGGTGTTCTGGCTTCAGCATAAAAGCAGCTGTCCAAGTTGTGGTTTTGTTTACTCGGGGAACACTGAGAAACCCGAGTCAGCTTGGCTGAACATGCACATCACATACACCGTAGTCGACAGAGCAGTGAAACGGCAACGCTTCCGTAGGCTTTCCTCCCCCTCCCCCCTTTCTTAATGGCTAATTGTAAATACAGCACAGCCTTTCTGGGAAATAATGGCTGACAGGGAACAGAGGGATCAGTGCGTTTCTGCTGAGTATTTTCAGTCAGCGTTCCACGGTGACGGTGGGCCCTTCGCAGATAAAACGCTGGAGGAGATGGAGCCGCTAGCAGGGTTGAAGATTTCCCTGGCAAAACGTTGCCGTAGCATTACATTGAACTTGATTTAAAATCCTGTCCCGGCCTTCATTAATCTCTGAAATTTGAGTGCCTTCAGGGCTCTGCGTTTGTGAACTAGAACAGTTCATAAAAACCTCTCTGAAATTTTATTCGGCTGGGCTCGTGTCAGAAGGGCTGGGCTCCATCTCCGGGAATAACCCGCTCCGTGCCGGGCAGCCCAAGCGGCTCCACTCGGGAGCCCTCGCCGTGGTCGCGGTGCTCCCCGTCCTGTCCACACGGGAAGCGCTCGGGCGGGAGGGGGACGGCGGCTCCCCCGTTAGATGGGCACAGTCAGGAGCGGCGGGAGGGGGAGCGGCGGTGGACACGGCGCCCCAACCCACCGAGCACCGTCATGGCCCGGGGAAAGGGGGTGACCCTTCTCCTTGTTTGGGGGCGGACGGTGGGCCACGGAGAGCCCGCGCCCCCTGAGGGCGCTGCCCCGCCGTGGCGGCGGAGGGCCGCTCCGCCAGCCCCCTGCGGGGACAGGGATGCGGTGACCCATGGTGGCCGCCGCTTCCCGCCCCGTCCAACATGGCGGTGCTGGCTCCCGGTCACGTGCCCCTGGGGCGGCGCCCGGCCCGGCCCGCCGGGAAGGGGCGGTGCCGCCGTTGCATAACGGGGGGGGCTCGGCCCTGCGCCCGCCGGGACCGGCGGGAAGCGGCTGTGCGGGCACTGCGAGGGCCTGCGTGTCCGGGCACAGAGGGCGCAGCGGCAGTGTCGTGCACAGGGACTGCGAGCTCAGCTTTGGGCTTCCCGTGCTTGGCTCTCGGGCGTTCTCAGCTCCCGGCTTCTGACCCGTCGGAAGGTGGTCACTGAGCCGCGTGGTTCACCTGGTGGTTCACGCGAAATACTAATGTGTTCCTAATGTATTCCTGTGGCTGGCAGCAGTGATGCGAAGTCAGCCTGCAGACTTGAGGGAGTTGAGACCTGGAGTAGAATCAGGTGGTTTGTTCGGAATTCTTTAGGGCAAAGGACTGTGCTATTGCACGTGTCGTATCTAACAAAATGGCTCGGTTTGAGGTTTCAAGGAGCTGTAACGCCCAGCTTTAGTGAACACCAAGGCTTGAGAGGTTCACCTGCGAAGAATTTGTGGGTGGTTTATGAGAACATAAAGCAATTTGCTTTTCCCCATTAACGGGGTTATGTTTTCTGGTTAGGGTCTGTGTTGTCTGATAAAATCGAGCTCACAATAAAGTTGCTTCATGACAAAGGGTTAACAAGATTGTTGCTATTTTTAGTGTCTTATTTCAATGATTTTGAAAAATGTAACATTTCTTAGTAATGCATTTTAACAAATTCAGCTCAAAATGGAGGAATTCAGAAGTTGTGGGAGGTAGGACTGCTGGACTGGGATGGGCAGAGCTAGGATTGACTTACAGTTGATAAATTTTGTTTCTTTATGAAGTGTTCTGAATTAAGGTTTGGGAGTTTTTATACTTAAAGTAGAAACACTTGATACTATTTTCAAGTTCTTAATTTAAGGTGTGGTTTATAACAACATCTTTTGGAAAAAAGTCATTGGTGCATTAAGGTGGAGAATATAAATGTTGAATATAAAGGTGAAGTGTAAGAATAAATCAGCAGTATTCGCTGCTTAATAAAAGAAGGGTTAATGTGCAAAGATCCTGTTGATACCACAGTATATTGGTTTAAGTAACAGAATGCATAGCTTAACTCTTGCATTGATTATTTTTGTTTAATAAGTGCATCATTATCAAAGCAGTTTGACTTTATTGTTCATCTTTTTCCATCCTGTCGGATGTCTGGGATCAAAATGCTGAAATACTGAAGGAGCTACGAATTTCAACAAACATAATAAATGTGGCATGCATTAGGCACTGGAACACTTTATCAGGCATACTTCACAGGAGTAGAACCAAGGTTGTGTTGAAGTAAGCAATCTCCTGGAGATAATGGTTTGTTGAATAGTCTTATAATTAGCTGGCTGGAGGATTCTTCACAGAAAAGTCTCTACTTGTAAACAAAGGGAAAGTTTCTATTTACAGAGTATTTTTCTTAGTACACTTCTATTTATAGGATATTTTGTGTGCAGATTAGAAGAGTGCTTTTATAATTGATCTTCAGTCACTTGCAGCAGAATAAGGTAGTAGAATTTAATTTTAGACTCTAAGCTCTGTCTGCAGTGCAGTGTTTTTAGTGTCATAGAGTTGAGTATAAGGAAAAGTGTGTCTTCAGAGTCTGGTTTAAATAAGCTACATAAAGATAAAAAATGTCATTTTACTCTTGGCAAAGATCTTTTAAATGGTGATGCACTCCAGGGAAATACAAATGTTTTACAAGTTTTGCATGCTGAGATGAAAAGTATTCCAGCTGCCTCAGAGAACCTAACAGCCTTGTCTCTGAACAGGAATTTCTTGGTCTCCAAACAGGAGTTAAGAATTTCCAGAAATATTACTGGAAGTCTCTGGAAAGGAAGTCATAGCTAGATAAAAGACAATGGCTGAAATGAATGAGTTCTACCTAAATGTGGATGCTGATGCTCTAGGAAATTGCAGAGTAAAAGCTTTTACTGCTTTGAGCTGTTTTAGGTATTTTATTCTAAATACGAGTTGTTAGTACAAGTTTGTAGCCTTTCCCAGTCCCATTATGCCAGAGTTAATCCGCCTCTTGCTGTTGTCCCTGACAGTTTGTTCTCCAATATAGTAAATGAGTACTCAGGGTGTTGAAAATATACCCCTGACTTCCCAATGCTTGTGCTTAGATGGCTGTAGTTGAGCTGTGGTCTAGTTTTCAGGGTTGCCCAATGCTGACTTATTTATAGGTAGCAGGATCTCACTGGGCTTGGAGCGCAGAGGACTCTCAGCTTTTTCTAAAGATCTGCAGAAAAGGGTGCAGGAAGCAGCGAGTGAGATGGTTGTGTCTGTGAAACCTCTGAAGTCTGTAGGGTTCTGCCTGCTTAGATTTCTCACCTTGTTTGCTTGCCATTATCAGTCTCTAGCCATAGCTGTCCTAGAAAACGCTACAGCTGATTCTTCATTACTG